TTCAATATGTTACTAGGCATGTACTACCTCAAGGTTGCTCAACCTCAATTTGATTGGGATAGAAAGGTGTTGATCCACAAGCTGCCCAACGGTAGAACCGTTAGATTGCAAAAGTTTAGAGCTAGCAGTCTAGTGGAAAACTCCAGGTGCATGTGCGCATCCTCTTTCTATAACTACTATAAGCAGAATCGCGAGAAGGACATGTATCTAGTCTTTGTCTCTGAGACAGGGGAGGTCGTTAAAACACCCCCAAAGATAGAACCAGTCGTCGCACAGTATTCCGACCTTTATGAGGAGCCCACAGGCGTGGTGGAAAGGGAGGTGTGCGATAGAGGTTGTCCCAAGTAGTAAGGTGCCTAGAGGATGAATCCATAGGATGTCTCCTGCGAAGTTGGATGAGCTCCGCCGCCAGCTCAAGGAACTCATAGAAAAGGGATGGATTCGTCCTAGTACCTCCCTTTACGGTGCGCCAGTCTTATTTGTCCCTAAGAAGGGGGGTACCCTGAGGATGTGCATTGACTATAGCGACCTCAATGCCATCACTGTTAAGAACGCGAAGCCCCTACCCCGCATCGACGACCTATTGGATAGAGTGCAGGGATGCCGGTACTTCACCAAGATAGATCTAAAGTCCGGATACCATCAAATTGCCATTAGACCTAAGGACCGACACAAAACCGCATTTCTGACCAGGTACGGTCTGTACGAGTTTGTGGTGATGCCCTTTGGCCTATGCAATGCACCTGGAACATTCCAACACGCAATGAACAAGATGTTTCACGAGTACTTAGACAAGTTTATCGTCGCGTACCTCGACGGTATTCTTATCTTTAGTAGGACTGTAGAGAAGCACGCTGGGCACTTGAAAATAGTGCCAGGTCTCCTAAGACAGCACCAGTACAAGATCAACTTGGAGAAATGTGTGCTCGGTCGCACCAAGATCTTGTACTTGGGTCATGAAATCTCCGCGGAAGGGTTGAGGCCAGACGATGCCAAAGTGCCCAGCATACAGGACTGGACCAGACCTCAGACTGTTACTGAGGTCAAATCGTTTTGGGGGATGACGGGCTACTATCGTCCGTTTGTTAAGAACTATAGTACTATAGCTTCCCCATTAACAGATCTAACTCGACTCGACACCCCTTGGAAGTGGACTAAAGAGTGTGAAGCGGCCTTCAAGAAATTGAAGTATGCGCTGACACACTACGAAGTCCTCAAACTTCCGGATCCTGAACAACCCTTTGTTGTGACCACAAACACCAGCCCATATGGCATAGGTGCGTTCCTTGCGCAAAAGGAGGGGAAGAAGTTGAGACCGATCGAGTACATGAGTAAGAAGATGCCATCTCATAAACTAGCTAAGTCCACTTATGAGCATGAGCTCTATGCCCTGTACAGAGCGCTAGTCCATTGGAGACACTATCTCCTTGGTTGATTTTTCTATATAAGATCTGACCATGAGACCTTGCGCTGGATCAAGACACAACCTGTACTCTCTAACACACTCAAGCGGTGGATTCAAGTGATAGACATGTATGACTATCAACTTGATCCAATCAAGGGAGAGTACAATAAAGTGGCCGATGCACTATCACGTTGGGCAGATTATCTGGGCGCACTAGTGACCGAGTTTGGTATATCTGACGACGTAACTCGATCCTTGGTGGTAGCCTATCAGCAAGATCCAGTTATGTCTAAGATCATTTGTAGATTTCAAGCGAAGGATAAGGTAACCTCCGATGAGTTTACAATGGTAGAAGGCTTACTGTTCCTTGTGAAGGAAGGGAATAAAAAACTCTGTGTTCCGAATAGTGAGTCTTTGCGTAGTTCGTTTCTAGGAGAATGTCATGATGCAACTGGCCATTTATAGCATGATGCAACTGGCCATTTCGGCTATAAAAAGACTTCAGCTAACCTTGTGCAGAGATTCTGGTGGCCTTCTATGATGCAAGATGCAAAAAGGTACGTATAAACCTGTCAGGTTTGTCAACGGGACAAACCTAGGACTCAGGCTCCGCTTGAGCCCTGGCCGATTCCTGAAGGTCTTGGTCAGAGTGTGTCCATGGACTTCATGGATACTCTTGTGACCAGCAGGTCTGGAAAAAGGCACATCTTTGTTATAGTAGACCGCTTCTCTAAATATGCAAGATGAATCGCTATGCCTGAAACTGCCAAAACTGACTACGTCATTAGAATGTTTATGGATAACTGGGTACGGGACTTTGGTTTACCTAAGTCCATAATCAGTGATAGGGATGTTCGCTTTACCAGCGAACTGTCGCAAAACACCGCCCATCCGATGGGAACCAGACTGCAAATGACATCACGGAATCACCCTGAGTCAAATGGACAGGCGGAACAAATGAACAGGGTAGTGCAACACCTACTTAGGCACTACATTCAGCCAAGCCAGGATGACTGGGACGAGAAACTACCTCTCGTCGCCAGCCTGTACAACAACGTTATACACAACGCTACTGGCACGACTCCCAACCAACTGCATCTTGGTTGGAAGCCCCGTTCAGCGCTTGATTTCCTACTCGCTAAGCAGCAAACCACTGCAGCACCAGGCAGCGCAGAATTCGCGGTCAAGTACGAACAGATTTTGCAACAGGCCGTCGAGCATATGAGGAAATCTCAAGATGCTATGATTGCATCTGAGAATAAACACAAACGACCTTCTAACTTCCAGGTAGGGGACAGGGTCTGGGTAAAATCATCTGAACTGGGACAGGAACTGGGAACAGGAACTGGGAATATCTAGAAAACTAATGCCACAGCATTTCGGTCCCTGGGAGGTCCGAGACATAGTGGTGGATTGGATAGACGGACCTTCTTATGTGATTCACGTCCCACCTCATCTACGTACACACCCAGTTTTTCACGCCAAGCTGGCACCTTTCACAGAGACTGCACAATTTCCCTCCAGACGGTCAATGCTGCCCCCAACCATGGATGGCGAAGTCGACATCGACGGAATCGTAGAGCATCGAGTGATGCCAATGCCTAAACCGCTGGGCAGAGGCCCCCCTCCTAAGCCAAGAATGCAAATACCGTGTGAGATTCAGACATCATCTGGATCCCAAGGAAGATCGGTGGTTCACCTGAGAAGAACTCATGCGAACAGCAACCCAAGTTATTGCAGGCTATGAAAGAGAACTCAAGGGAAAAACGCCTGCAGATCAAAAGACTTTTCGGAGGACTATCGAAGAAAAGGAGGACGGAATGCGAGATCTGGGTCCTCGGCAGGCCTAAGGGGCTTCTTGCTGCAGATGTGCCCGCCCCAAGTGAAGACGGGCCTGACAAATCACTAGAGGCCCTAAGCTGTCAATATCGTATTTGGGGTCCAGGCAGTTTCGTCGCACCAGTTGGTTGAGGAAAACACAGGCCGAGCAGCGAGACATTCCACGGCCTTCCAGGACTTTCCAAAATGATGCAGGCCCTGGACGAGAATCGGATCCTCATACAAAGACAGTTGGGAGGCCCAACCGAATGAGGCCCAGTAGCTGCGACAGAGGCGCAGCATCCTGGGTCCTACCGGAAGCTTCTGGGCCAAGGCCCAGGCTAGCCAGGCTGCGAAGGCAGGCCAGCTCATTCCATATAGGGAAGAGCTCGCTGCCTGGCCTCTCATTCAGGCACTCGCATGCTAGCGGCAGCGCTGGTGGAGCGCATGCTCGTGGGCTGCTGGTGGCGCTGAGAGGCGAGGTGCTAGTGC